AAATCTGTAGCTTTATGCTTGCTAAAAATAAATCTTCATCTTCATTTAACACAATAGAATCTAGTTTTATGGGTATTTTGTACATCATTTATTTCAAAAATATTTTTATTTAATTTTGCTGATTCCATTTCGCTATTTTTGATTTATTAAAAATATTATATTTCACACCTAATAATTCAAATGTGTCGTGATAAAATTTTAAATCTAAATACTTAAAAATTCTAATTTTAAATTCATTTCAGTGACTCCAAGAAATTAATAAAAAGAAAGTGGAGAAAATTCCATTGAAATGGAGTTTTCTATGTTAACGGGAGTTAAGTGGACCTTATGGAAATGAAATAAAACAATTGTGACAATGATAGAACATAATTTTATTTTATTTTTAAAAAAATGGTCCCCTTATAATTCGAAAATATGGGGACTTAGATCATATAACTCATTGAGTTTGGTGTAGGTCCATTTCATATAAATTAGGATACGTAATGTGATATCCTGCCACTTTTCCAGCCAAGTTCGCACCAGCCTGTTGGGGCAGGCCCAAGTTTGCAGCATTCTGGGAAGACAGGCAGCAGCCCAGGCGGCCCAAAGCAGGCAGCCCACCTAGCCAGGCGGATTGCAGCACAGGTGGCCCAAAGGCCTGGCATACAAAGGGGCAGGCGCAGGCCAGGTGTGCAGCAGGCGGAGGGGCAGCAACCTTGGGCATTGAAGAGGCTTGGACGGGATTCTAGAAGCCTTTCTAGAATTTTGGAGCAGACTAGAGAAATCTAGGAGTCCTTTTGGAAGAATCAAGACATCTTCTAGGGATATGAAGCATGTACTTAGGATTTGTATATAGCATTTATTTACTCTTAGTTATTAGAGTAGTATAAATAGTAGAGTCAATGTAATTGTAAATCATCCACCAATTGATTAATAAAATACTAGTCCAATTCTTCCAAAATTCTGGCTTTGTAACTTTCCTTCTCATTTATCTTAGCGATCCAAATTGTGAAAGGCTGACTTGAGTTTTGCGAGATCGTGAAAGAATCGTGAGCAAACCGTCAAGTGCCGCACGGAGTCTTGTCAGAATCGTTAGGTCCGTGACAGTAAACTCTATTATTAATTTACTTTCCGACTCAAATTGTACCTATAATTCTCCACTGTCCTATTATTAATAGCAACAATTACTCATATTTATCACACTATACAGATAGTTCTTATCCATATTAAGAAACACATTAATAAGTTTAGTAATTACTCTGTGTTTATTGTAACAAACTTTAAAATCACTATTTGATGATCAGTGAAATAATCATCACTACTAAAAGATCAATTTATTTTCCACTGAAAATGTTAGTGGTGCTGGTGAAGTATGACCTAGTGATCAATAAAATGATTAAGAACGATAAGATTTAGTTTTAAAATTCAGCAAAAAAAAACACACTAGACGATTCTTCTTATTTGCCCTAACTTTTATAGATATAATTACTCGATACTTGTTATTGATAGAAGATGCCATATATCTCGTGTAATTATTCAATACTTGTTATTGATAAAAAAAATTGAAAATTCTTAAAACAAAACTTCCTTCTGATTTTTTATAGAAAGATGAAGACGACAATTGAGAAGGACTACATGAAAACTTAAAAAAAAGAAGTGCATTTTCTTTTTTTTTCACAAAGAAAAACTATATACTTATTAGTACGAAATGATAGTTATAATTACGTTATAAAGTCAAGTGGCAAAACAATTAAAAGTCATTTAGGGGTGAAAGTGATAATAATATGAATTTTATTGGTTTTAATTTATAAAATAGCAACATTAAGTGATAATATTTTGTTTTGAATCTATTATGTGTATATTCATGAAATTAATTAAGACAAATATTAAAATTGCTCTATAATCTCAGTATAAATATCATTATTATTATTATTATGAACAAAATAATACTATAGAAAAGTAAATTAGATTTTGAAGGAAATTAGGTCATTATACTCGTGAAATGTTATTATAATGAATCTGTGTTATAACGAATTTAATTGTGTATCATATGTATTAGTAAAGCCTCTTAATTTGGAGGTCATGAAATTTGGAATTATTAACAAATCTTGTTGTATTAGCTGGAAAAAAAATATGGCCCAATAAAATAACGATACGTCTTCAAAAAAATCTTTGAAAAATCCAGAATTGTTGTGTTTATCGGGGCCATAAAATTGTTGCTTTGGGGGGTTAACATTTTGCGTAAAAAATGACAGAAATTCCACATTTAAGTTCTCTTATTACCAATATTCCTTGCTACTTTTATAAATTTTCAAAATATCTTATTTTTGCGCATATGATTAATGTATCTCGCGCATCAGATTAATGTATCTCACACATCAAATTAGTGTATCATGTATAAAATGCAATGTATCTTACTTAACGATATATGTATCTCACGCATTAAATTAATGTATCTCACCCTCATATTAATGTATCATGTATAAAATGCAATGTATCTTACTTAACGATATAGGTATCTCACGCATTAAATTAATGTATCTCACCATCAGATTAATGTATCATGTATAAAATGTAATGTATCTTACTTAACGACAAATATATCTCGCGCATCAGATTAATGTATCAACGCTTATAGTATTGTATTAGTTTGAATGATTTATGTATTATAAACTTATAGGGACAAATATAATTTTACCTTAAAAGTATGTGATTTTTATCTTTTGTCCATTATGTATTGATAAAGCCCCTGAATTTGGAGGTCAAAAAAATTGGAATTATCAACGAATCTTGTCGTAGTAGCTGAAAAAATAATATGGCCCAGTAAAACAACACGTCTCAAAAAACCCTTTAAAAATCCATATTTGTTGTGTTTATGGGAGCCATAAAACTGTTGCTTTTGGGAGTCAACATTTGTAGTATTATTATGAAATTGGACCACACTATTATACTATTTTAAACAAAAATTGGTTGATCAAGAATTTTGATTTTGTGATTTATATTATACTAGACGTATGCGCCGCGTTAGTACGGTCTCAATATCTGTTATTTTATTTATCTTACTTTATGTGATAAATATAAAATTTAAAAATTCAATTAAATTTTAAGATGAGTTTTAAGTACTTTAAATTAATTATTGTAATTTATAGTATCGTTACGTAATTTTTAAATAATATATGTTACTTTTCCTATCCCAATATATGTGGCACAAATAGACTTTCAAAAGTAAATATGTTGTTAATTATAGTGTGAAACCACACATGTTGGTTGTCTCACGTGTGGTTAAGATGAAATAACTCAAATATGAATAAGAATTATATTTATGTAATACGAAATGTCAAAAGACTCAAATCAATTAAGAAATTGAAATTAATTAAAGACCTCTACTAATTAAACCACAAAATTTCAAGCTGAAGATCTCGTAAAATCAATTAGTTGATGTAGAGGTCTTTAATCATCAAAATTATCACTCCCTCCATCCACTATTAACTGTCATACTTTCAATTTTTAAAGTCAAATTATAAAAAAATTGACTAACATTTTACAATATATTTCTTTATTATATTGATATGCAAAAAATTGTAATGTATAGTACTTTTCGTATAGTTTATTAATATTTAAAATTTTTATTTAAAATATCGAATAAATATAATTTAAATTGAATTTATTAACTAGTCAAATAGACTTTTGAAAAATATAACATGACAGATAAAAATTTAAAAAAAAGTACAATTGCTTTACGGGATAAAAGAAGAAGCTCAAATTAAAACAGAAATAAAAATTGATGTTAACAAAGTTTGAACCCTACACCTTGGGGTTGATATGTCATACCTAAACAAGTAGGTCAAACAACATATCACTTAAATAATCACACAGCTGAAAAAAACATTTTAACCTCTTACGTATAAGTAGTACAAGTAGATAACATAGTTAACATGTTAGTGAAGCATCAATTTTATTTTGTTTCACTTTTTTTTCTTTTTTTTCTAATTTAAGCATAAAATATTGTTTTTTCATCTTATTTTATGTGACTCTTTAGATTACCACAATTTTACAAAAATAATGCTATTTTTCTATGTTAGAAGTACTACTAGTGAATTAGTTCACACTTTGCCTCATTATAAAAATCTTATTAAATTTTGTTAATATTCCCTTAATTCTCGAATGTCAAGACTATTGAAACTTTTTTTAGTCTTGAATTTTTTAACACATTATTTCTTAAGCTTTAAGCTATACATAATATTTGTATTGATGCATAATATTATGATATAGTATCTCTTCTTGTAATAACAATTAAAAAAAGCTATGCAATTCTGTTATTTATTTTCTTTTTTTATTTTAGAAATTTTAATCATCTATAAATACTTGACTTATATATAATAATAATCTATATAAATTACCTAATATTATATAAATATTTTTAAAAATAAAAAGAAAATAAAAATAAACAAATTCAAAGGGATTAACGTGACACCAACGGGATTTGTTATACAGTTAGGATAAAATTCAATTATTTAATGATATTTTATCTCTGTGTTACAAGTAAACGTATATGATTAAATTAGTGCAGCAAAAAAATTTTAAGGTGAAAAAGTATGTGGACTTATTTAATCATGTACTTAGTTAGTAAATTATTTAATTGTTTGTTTTCTTAGTGAGTAAATTATTGTGTTTATATGAAAAAAATGCCTAAAAATCAGAAAGACAAACAGAAATTTTAGAAGAAAAACAGATCGCACAATAAGTGAAATATATAGCAAATTTAGAAGAGAAAAGATGAGGAGGAGAAATGGATGAAATTTTTTGTAAAGAGGTGAAAAATAGAGAGATGTATTTGGGGATTTAATTTGGCAAATATTTATTTGGTTAGTTGGCTATGTTTGAATTTTTTTTAAATCCAGTAATTTTATTAGAATTATTTGAATTTTATTAGAATTAATTTTGTTTTGGTTGATTTGAAAATTTTCATCCAATTTAGGGATACGAATGATAAGTTTATAGTCAACAAGAGTATAAATAACTCTATTTTAATGGTAATGACAAGATCAACAGTAAAAATTGAGAGGTATTTTGCACCATTTTCCTTCGCATTTATTTGGAAGATAATATAACATTCAAATTAAAGGTGTATATAGAACAAATTGGAACAATTTTCTTCAACTTCTTTCATGATTTGAAAGATTTTCTTTCCTATTAAACATGTGTACTTTCACCTGGTCCCCCATAAATGTCACGACCCAAATTTTGCAAGTCGTGATGGCACCTATGTTCCCAACCAATAGGTAAGCCAACCCAACATATTAACCCAACTAAACCAACAAATGAGTAAAAAAGACCAACGCTCAGCAAGAATCTCCAACATTGAGTTCCTTATAAGTAAGAAATGCGGAAGATAAAATATATCACCCCAAGAATTGGTGTCTTAAGTACAAGAGCTTCTAAAATTCGATGCAAGTCTGAAACTAAATGACAAATCTAACCTAAGGGATATCCTGTTTGAATACTAATAACAGAATAAATAAAAGATAGAGGGAGGTGTGGGCCACGGAATAGCCAAGCAGCTCACCACAACTCCAAGCTCGGACTCAAATTGCTCCACGAGATGTGCTTCTACTCGGAATCGAATCTGCACCACAAAGAGTGCAACAAGCGTAGTATGAGTACGAAA